CTAGACATACCCAGTTCCTGCAACCATTCTTCATATGTTTTAGCCTCCAGTCCCCTAATCAAGGAGAGAAGCAACCTAAAACTGAGGAGAAATTTCCTGACAGTGAGAACAATTCATCAGTGGAACAACTTGCCTCCAGAAGTTGTGAATGCCCCAACACTGGAAGTCTTTAAGAAGATGTTGGATAGCCATTTGTCTGAAACGGTATAGGGTTTCCTGCCTAGGCAGGGGGTTGGACTAGAAGACCTCCCAGGTCCCTTCCAACTCTGCTATTGTATTGTATTGTGTGTGTGATCTAGCTAGCTATCATATCTATCATCTACCTATATCTAATCTATCTATCTATAAACTCCCCCCTCTCTTGTACCATCTCTCTAGGGCAATTAAGAATAACGTATTGTGTAAAATTTATTCTCAGGTAGTTGCCCAAAAATGCAGACACAGACAGCAAAATTCTCTTGCATTTTTTAAAATTCATTTGGCTCCCCAACCCAGAAGAAAAGCTCTTTAATAATATATATACATATACATACAAAAATACATGTGAGCTTTTGTATATTCATCCACAATATATAGACTCTAAACACACGTGTTGCTTCTTTCCCTGATTTTACTTGTGCATTTTCCCTTAAGCTCTTTGCCATTCCATTTATTGCAAGTAAGTAAACAATTCAGTTGCAGCGTTTTTTAAACCTCTAGAGAAAGAGACAGCCTGGACAATAAATTTCAGGTCATAAATGTCATCAACCATTCCGTCTCAATCCCCATTGGCATTTCTGGAGACAGGAGAGAAATGTTAATTTCTGGCTAGAGAAGATCAGCAGGAAAGCTCAAAGCTGCCCTTGGTTAGCGCAAAGCCAGGCTGGCAATACTTTGCATTCAACACAGGTGAGACCAAATGATTTCCGTTAAAAGCGTGTGTTAATGAATGCCAGCTAAATATCAGTAAAAAATAATAATAATCGAAAAATGACAGCAGCAATCAGAAGGGCCAAGAAACCATCACCAGTAATTTAGCAACTGAGCTCCCACAAATTTTTAGTCATTTATGCTCAAGAATGTTTCAGTTGGTTAAAGAAAATATCTAAAGAAGAAACGTCAAAGCTGTGGTTTTTCCAGGAGCCATGTATGGCTGTGAGACTCAGATCATAAGGAAGGCTGAGAGCCAAAGGATTCATTGTTATCTTCTTTTAAAAACTCCATAATCCCTTGTGGGGTGGAGTCTGGGCAACTGAATGAAGCTTACTGGCCAGATGCCTTTCCTGTTGCCAGTGCAGAGTTTTGTTCAGCAGATATATTCTCATCGTGCCCAGAGAGAGAAATATCTGCCTTTGCCTAGGATTGAACTCAGAGCCTCCTGATTGTAAGGCCACCGCACCACTCTAAGAGCTGAAGATGCTTTCAAATCGTGATGCTGGAGAAGACTTTCGAGAGGCCCTTGGACAGTCAATCCTAAAGGAAACCAACCCTGGCTCTCCTTTGGAAAGACAGATCCTGAAGCTGAAGCTCAAATACTTTGGCCATCAGATGAGAAGAGAGAACTCTCATGTCCCCATGACATAAAAGCCCAGTCTAGCACAATACCAATGAAAATGTCATTTCTCTGAAATGGTATTGGACTGGGCTTTTACGTCTGTCATACCCCCATTTTAAAGTTCCTGAGAATGTCCCCGTTTTAAAGTTTCCTGAGAAACCCTCAGGGGGTTGGACTAGAAGACCTCCAAAGTCCCTTCCAGCTCTCTTTTGATTGATTGATTTTAAAAAGGGAGCTGTACAGTCACACTATCATAGGTGCCATTTTAACTTTTTTGGCCATGTTCTGGTTGGAAGTCTTCAATGTTTCCTTCCCATATAACCAACTAAAACATTTTTGCGTTCCAGTAAGTGAAAAAAAGCTTAATTGCATTGCACAAATCCTGAAAGAATAAAGTTTTGGCATGCAGAAATCAGCATAGAGGGCAGGGGTCTCACAGAACATATGCAGTCCCCCAAGTCATTTTTGGCACATGTGCATACACATGCATACACACATACAGATACACAGACAGACAGACGAAGACACATATATTACCCTGGAAGAATACTTTGTAAATACAGATCTTGTAGAAATTATTCCATTGCCAATCCAGTAATAAAAACCAAGTAATGGTATCCAGGTTAAGCCAGCAAACTGACCAAAATGAAAATAATATTAGTTAGAACTGATAGGTGGATAAACATTCTAGTCTAAACATCTGTCTGACCAATCTTCATAACAATTCAAGTTGAATATTCGTATTCTTGGAGACCAAATTGTTTTGCAGCATTTTTAATTTAATCAGTTGATGACGATCGGTAAATCGTGATGTATTTGATTTTGAACCCACAACAGGTTTTTGTATCAGCCTTCAGGCTAAGGAACTAGCCCTCATGAGGAAGTCATGGCAATTTGAAGTTGATGTTACAGTTGAGAAGAGTGGCAGCTTGGGCCTGCAAATCAAGTTTTGGCCTCTGATAATAATTAGTAAAAATACCCACACTTTGGTTTTCAATGTCAAGTGCAAAATCATGATGCTGAACTAATGTTCTCGCATTGCTGGTGTGCTTATGACTTGAATCATAAGTATGTGAAAAGTGATTCACGGAGGGTGCTATCCACATAATAAAGTTAAAAATCTATGCATGGACAAAATTCCTCAGAGATCCAATGGCAAAAGAAAGGAGAAAGAAAAGAAGGAAAAGATAGGAGAAGTTTCAAAAAAGAGGAGAAAGAGGAGGAAAAGATAGAGAAGGGGGAAAGAGACAGAATAAGAGATGGAGAAGGAAAAAAAGGAGAGAGAGAGAGATGGGAAGAGGAGGAGGGAAGGAGAAGGAGGAAAAGATTGAGAAGGGGAGAAGAGAGCGAATGAGAAAATATGAAAGAGGAGGAGGGAAGGAGGAGAAGAAAAGATTGAGAAGAGACAAAAGGAGAAAATATGGAAAAGGAGAAGAGGAAGGAGGAGGGGGAGGGAAGGAGAAGGAAGAAAAGATTGTGAAGGGGAAAAGATTGAGAAGGGGGAACAAGAGAAGGAGAAAATATGGAGAAGAAGGAGGAGGAGGAGGGAAGGAGAAGGAGGAAACGATTGAGAAGGGGAGAAGAGAGAGAATAAGAGAAAATATGGAGGAGGTGAAGAAGAAGGCAGAAAAGAGAGAGAGAACAAGAAAATATAGAGAAGGAGGAGGAAAGGAGGAGAAGGAGAAAAGATTGAGAAGGGGAGGAGAGGCAAAAGGAGAAAATATGGAAAAGGAGAAGAAGAGGAAGGAGGAGGAGGGAAGGAGAAGGAGGAAAAGATTGAGAAGGGGGAAAAGAGAGAGAAGGAGAAAATATGGAGAAGGAGAAGAAGAAAAGGAAGAGGAAGAACAGAGGGAGAAGGAGGAGAAGAGAAAGAGAAGGAGCAACTGACTTTCTACCCCACCAGAGAGTTACAATTGGAAAGTAGGAACAGGGTGAGAATAATATTCTAGGTTCAGCCGCTTAAAATTCTTGTGAAGACGCAGGCGTCATTTGGACCTCATGATTTTGGCACGAGAATAATTCACGCGTGGTACATTGGATCGCTCTAACGCAGGAGAACCTCATCGGGAAATCTGTCTCTGCTAGGAGATCCTGGCCCTCCTGTGAAAGAGATTCCAGATTGTGGCTGGGAGATGCCAAAGGCTTCCAAGTGGAGGAAGCCGGGCCAGTTCAATGCAAATTATCCAGATGTTTCCAGCTTCTCTTCAGGAGACCCAAGTGAAGGCCAGGAACGCTGCAGTGGGCACCAGCAAGAGAGCGCTTCTCGAAGGCAGCAGGAGGTTCGAGTTCGATTTTTGGACAATCCGGGCACCCAGAGGCTGAACGGGTCGAAAATTGTCCACCATCGGAAGTGTTTTCTTATCGTCGAAATACACCTTTTCCCAGAACTCTTCGATCTATGGACCAATAAGAAGGACAAGTATTGATTTTTTATCTTTCCAAGTCAGTGTAGAAAGAGGAGCTTCTATTGACTGGATAATGCACCAAACTATTAATATTCTTTCTTTCTTTCTTTCTTTCTTTCCTTCCTTCCTTCCTTCCTTCCTTCCTTCCTCTCCCTCCCCCTCCTTCCTCCCTCCTCTTTTCCCTTTATTTTCTACCTTCCTCCCTCCCTCCTTCCTCTTCCACTCCTTCCGCCCTTCTTTCTTCATTCCTCCCTCTCTCCTTCCTCCCCCTTTCCCTTCCCTTCCCTTCCCCTTCCTTTCCTTTCCTTCCTTTCTTTTCTTTTCTTTCCCTTCCCTTCCTTCCCCTTTCTTCCTTTCCTTCCCTCCTGTTGCCCAGTGGTGGCATTCAGCCAGTTTGCACCAGTTCAGGAGAACTGGTTATTAACTTTCTGAGCAATTTGGTGAACCGCTTGTTAAATTATTTGAATCCCGCCACTGCTCCTGCCTCTCTCCCTCCTCCCGCCCTTCCCTGCCCCATTCTCTCTCTCTCTCTTTCACACATACACACATTCCCTTCTTCTTCCTTCCTTCCTTTTGTCTGCCAGCATTCAAGGAGGTTAACAACATTTCAAAACCCACACCGTTGTCCAAAACATAGAAGCAAAAAACTACTGACACAAAAATTAAACCACAGCTGAAAACCCAAGACCACCGTATGCATAAGGAAGGAGAATCACAGCCCTAAACAGCATTGCCTCATCGGGATCCTACCCTAACCAAGCCCACCTCATTTGCGCACACATTACGCTAACACAAACACATTCAAACAGAGGCACAGCTTATGATGCAACAGAGCAACCAGGGCCCACACATAGCTGCACCCCATTGCTTTGTTTCCCCCTTTTTTAATGCTTTGAAGGACCCCCTCCCCAAGTGTTCCTTAGCCCGGGGTCTCCTACCTGCTCCCACTCAAGTTCAATGGGTTTCTCAAACAGGGTCCAGATCACCTCCTCATTGCAGGCAGGGGTTGTCAGAGAGCCAGTGTAGCGATAGAAGCTTGTGAGATCCTTCTTGTCCGGGATCAAGGATTCCAGGGGCAAAGCTGGAATCTCTACTTTTTGCTCTGAATAAAAAACAGAGAGAATTGAAATGTGTTTGAATATATCAGTAGCTCGGGTTGGTAGTTAGGCTGTTGCTTTGAGCTCCGAGATGGCAATTTGGTTGCAAACATTTCGTCACCATTCGAGGAGACATCATCAGTGCGTTTTGAGTTGTGCCCGTCTATCAGAGCACAGGCCTTTAAATACCTTTTTATGAGATGCAAATTAGGCTGAGCCTTGTTTGTTCGGATATTACTGTTCTGACCTAGGCTTCCTGAGAGCATGAAGCAGACTCCTGGTCCCGACAAAAACCCCTTTTATTAATTGACGGTGAATTCTGCTCATTCACATCCAGCAAAGTCTTTCAAGGGAGGATTTACAGACCTTATCTGGCTTGGAGAGCTGCCAAGCTGACATCTTCAAAAGTTGGCAAGGAGTCTCAGAGAGTCATGAACCAATTAAGCAAACTAATTGTCTCCTGCAAACTCCACTCCCCTTTCGCTCCTCTTTTATTTCCTCTGGGAGGGGCCATTCATCGTACACCTGTGGTCCTATTCCCAAGTCGATCTGTGTTCTTTAGCTGTTCCCTTCCTCTGGCCACTCTGCACATGCGCACACTGGGGACAGGCTCCAGCTGTTCATCTGCCTCACTGATGTCTGCTTCTGAAGG